TGCGTGGTCGTGTCTGATTTCATCACCCTCAACAGTTGATGTCCTGGATTTCTCTCTGTCTAAATCTTGTAACAAAACGTTATCTTCAGGCACAACAATCTCCTTATACACATCAGCAAGTTTTCTAGTTGCACCTTCATTGAGCTGCATCAAATCCTTGGATTGTTCAGATTCATCTGTCACTGATGGATTTAATAAATTGATCCCAGCATTGTCTTTCACTGTTTCTTTACTTCCATAACTCCGAGAAGAATAAGTTTTGTGGATGTTTTCGTCTACTTTTCTCCAAAAAGTAATCTTATCGTTGGTATGGACTCCTTCATCCACACATATATCCTTAATAACGTTGTAACTAGTCTCTTTGTGACACATTATATGTTCTGGTTCACATGCTGTAACACTTTTGTCCATATATAGATCTGCAGAACCCTCTAATGAGCCTGTTTCCGCGAGTGAGTCATGGATTGGTGAATTGAAGGAGTTTTTCACCGATTCCGTATCATGGTGAAGCATCCCAAATGACTCTATTTCCTGCGAAGAATGGGGTGCTGCATCAACAGAGTCCCTGACCTGTGCTTCATAGTCATTTTCTAAATCAAGTTTAATTGTTGTCGAGAAATCTACTGACCCCATGTCACAGGGTGATAGAGTTGAATCCATTATACGTCTCTGTTTCGGTGGAGGCTCTAGTTTCGCATTCCTTTATTTTGTTGTGTTCTGATTTGCATCCAGTAGAATATTACATCACTGTCATTGGAGTCAAATGATTGAGATTCAAGGCCAAGGCCAATATTTGAATGTAAAGAAGCCAGTTCTAGTTCTGTACATACATTTTCAAATAGAAGAAAATAATTTGCTAGGTCCAATTTTCACAATAAAAATCACTTGATCATAAAACAAACACAATAAACAAGATAAAGGAATTCAGTAAATTCGTGTCAAGAAAGGTTATGTCATGGACTTGGAAGAATCATATTCAACAATATATGAATGGCAATAAGCAAACCATACTTGAAACAAGAAGTTATGAATCAAGACCAAACTAATTCAATAATATGCATAAGTTAACCCCTATTATCACAAAGAGAATGTGTTAAGTATAGCTGCTAGAGACAATAAAAGTACCAAAAGCAGAAACCAGAACTAAACTAAAAGTTTGTTACCTAGTTTCATTGTCCATGTAGAGTTCAAACCAATGAAAAACTTTCTGGTTTACAACAGGTATATTCAATCAACGAGACTAGCCAGATTACTAAATATATTATACGACCCTGAGAATCAGAAAACAGGAATAACTAGGTTAGTGTGAATGAAGCATCAAATCTTAAAAGTCCTAAAGTGACTCAAAAGATAACCTCTTTAAATCAAGAAGACAAAACAAAAGTGACATTTCACTATTCATAAAATAATTTAGATATTTGTTTTTATTTCAGCAGAAGGGAAACCATTTCTATCTTATAAAGACTGTAAGACCCTTTTTTCCACACATCTATTACGAACTTTTGATGCAAATAGTATTGATTAGAACCCAATTCGAACTAGAGTGCAATTCAAACATAAGCTTTAAGAATACTGAGAACTAATCAAATTGGGGGACCATATTATGACTTGAGCATCTCATATCCTCTCAGCATATCCCAATCATTAAGAGTACGAGTTTATGCTTATATGTAAAGTTGTAAAAGCATGTTCCTGCATCCTTTTTCTTTTATTAGTAAAAGATTTGGTTTTGGACTAACTGAATAGAATCCTAGGGTAGTACTCGATGTATAAAAGGACAAAGGGAAAAAGTTTAGAAATCCTAAACTTTTGGAAAAGCTTTTCAGCTACAAATATTCAAACTCAGATTGATTTGACACCATCAAATTCCCTACCAATATTTTGTCCTTTAGAGCTCTGATTGGATTGAGGTTTAGCCCTCAAACCAAATCAACACAAGTCTACAAATCCAGAAGAGTAGAGTGAAAATTCAAGGTCTGTTACAACGTATACACCTCAATCACATGATGGGAAAAAAAGGGAACCAGCACAACCGATATGAGAAATTAACATCAACTTGTCAAACCTTCTTAGCCCCATAAAACATATAATAATATGTGATATATATACATGGAATCACAAATGAAAGAAACAAAAATAGGACAAAAAACTACATCCAAGTCAATTACAAAGAAAAATGTAACTGCACTCACCACAAAAAAGGCCAAATGACAACAGAGATAGAGCTAAGACTTAAAATGTGGATAGCCATTTCACAGTTCACATAACAAACAGGTGGGGGGAGAGAGAGGAAGAGAGTACCATAGGCGACAAAAGAAACATTCCATGTTGAAATTAAAGCAGAAAACAATCAAGAATGGAGTGGAGTTGGCAACACAAAAGTAGGCAAAGAGAAGAAGAGGTTATTTCAAAGTGTATTATAGTTGGCAGTGTCTAAGGGAGAAAGGTATATAAAAAGTATTCTTTTCCTAATAACAAAATCTTGTGCTATTTATCTCATCTTATAATGTAGTATACTTTTGTAAGACAAATGTAAACAACATAAATCATTTTAATATAATATGAAGATATTCAGAAAGTATTCAATATTTGATCGAAATATCAACACGTATAATTGTAATTAAAAGATAATCATTATTTTGACTTAAATTCCTTCTAGTCTTTATAGTTTTCTAAACAGGAAATTTTGTTCTATATAAAAATTTAATTACACATTTATTTCTCTAAAATTTTAAAATAAGTAATCCTACTCCATGGATAATATTTTCTATAACCAGTAACAGAAACTATTGACATGTTATTTGGTTTTGCATTTAATGTGAAGTATAAGAGGGGACCAATGTATATTTAATAGGTATTGTTAGAGCTTTAAATTAGGACCTTATTTTTTATCTCCTTCTGACATCAAAAATTTAATTTCACACCAAAACGTTGTTCTCTTCTGTCGTTTTACAACCTCCACAATCTTATTCCAGTCTCTGTCTCTCCTAGAATAAATGGTCTTTTGTAAATATTAAACATTTATGATGTTCTTTTTAACTACTTTATTCAAGAGTGGTTGATACAACATTCCTTGAACATATTTGCATTAAAATTCTTTTATGATAACTATTATGTATTTTAAGAAGAAAACTTTGGTCAATTCACATGATTTTTCTTTTTTGGAGAATAATTAATATCACTTTTATTATTAGTTAATGCCATTTAATATATTTCTTAATTTTAATTTGAAATCTTAAATGTTGGTCATTTTAAAAATAATAATAATACCACCTTCATCTTCTTTTACTTGTATTCTAAGATTTTGATACCAAGAAATTCATTTTCCTTCTATAATATAATTCTAAAAGTTCTCATTATACATTTTTGGTTATATTTTGCCATAAGTGCAAAGTATTTGTAAGTGCATAACTAATTCCACTTTTGACCAAAATTAAAGATAAAATTGACAGAAAATAATAATTAATTATCTTGAATTTTGAAAACCAACATAAATAATTTTTTTTCTTCTAAAATTGACACTTGAAAAAGAAAGGAGTAATCTTTATTATATGATTTTGGTTATTTTTATTTAATTTATTACCTTAATACAATTAATTTGTGCTTTAATGTTTGCTCTTTTTATCCATTTTTCGTTTATGCATTCATTATTGAATTTTTTAAATTCTGTACCAGGGGGTGTCGGACGCCCTACGGAAGGACGCCCGCATAGACGGCGCCATATGTACTGATAGTGGACGTCTACCCAAAGTCAAACGTCCGCCCAGGATTTGACGTCCGCGCAAGATAAAATGTCCGTCCAGGAATCGAGACCGAACGAGCGGCCCAAGGTTTGATGCCCATTTGAGAAGTGGACGTCCGCCCAAGGTTGGCGCGTCCGCCCAATAATCTGGACTGAACGTCCAGCCATTCCAGAATCACGCGTCCGCCCAAGATGGGACGTTCGCCCAAGGATTNTGCCTTGATGTGAATGTTTGAATGAAGTAATGAAATATTGAACAGAGTTTTATATTCATATGATTCATGAAACCCAATTCCAACTAAGTTTCTTTTAAATATAAATTCCTTGCACACCAACTGTTTGATAAAATACCAAAAATAGCTTCTTGTGTTGTTTTGTGCATTTTGACATCTAATTGAGTTATAAAAGGAAGAATTGTCATGTGTTGCACAAGTCCCTTGAGAGACGATACTTTTACTTATTCACTGTATTACTTGGAACGATTTGGTATACTTGCCAAAAAGTTATCACTTATTTGAATTTTTTAGTCTAATCACATACTTTAAATCATCAATTTTTTTAAAATACATGTAATTAGGCTATATTGTGAACGAGGGAATTCTATTTATTTTTTAAATTAACTGTGATAAAAACAATATAAAAAATCTAATAAAAATATAAATATAATTATTTATAGTATTTAAAATAGACGATAAAAGAAAAATACCATTAAAAATAAATAACTGATATTCAAATATTTGGTTTAAGAAGATAAAAATTATTATATCCATAAATTAATACAATAAAGGAAAATTAGATTATTTATTAGATTACAAACAAAAGAATATAATTAGCTTTATAGGAAATATTATAAAAGGAAAATAAAATATTTGACAAAAATAAATATAATCATTTGTTGATGAAGTTGAAATGGGATGAAGTTGAAATGAGACGAAGTTGTGTTCATGTTTTATGGTTGAAGTAGTGATGGTAGAGCTAAGAAGTTCCTCCTCATGGAATTGCATGTCAAAATTTTTATTCTGTATGGCAATAAAGAAATTTGACTCTTAAAGGAACATTTTCTGAGCGTTCACTCATGACATCACCAATGCTGGAACAAATCCATGTAGCATTAAATTTTTGCAACCACATCAAGATTCAAGAGACTTTAATCATTAAATTTTCTTGCAAGTTGCAACTACTTTTACAGTTTTTTGTAGTTACTTTTATAGCATAAAGCATATACCATAAACATTCAAAAATAGCATCTACAGTGAATTATTGACAAGGAAATAAAATTTTGATCATATATATGGGTAAAATAAAAAGGTAAGAAACAAATGCAATTAAGGGAAATAAAAAGAACTTGTGCTTACATATAGGACCAAACAATGGAGATATATGTATATGCCTGATACTGAGAAAAATTGACTGATATATATGAACTATTATTATAAGGCTATAGGGAATAATAAACTTTCAGAATTTACAGCAGAAAAGGCGGTGCGTCCAACCCTGCTGTTTACTGCGACGCCTACTACCAGATTTTGTCAACCTTGCTGGACTGCTATTCCATTCTGATTGTAATCTGCAAGAACCAGAAGCAAATCAGTGTGTTCATTTTTCAATGCTTAAAGAAGAACTAACAAGTTTTGAGGCATTTTTTTTTACATGGGAAAGGCAAAGGACCGTGAGCTAGCTGTGCTGCTATCTGATCGAAGAGAGATGCTACCACAATAAGGTAGAGGTCCTAAGTACCCAACAGAGAAGGAACTTGACTCGTCTAATCTTGGAAAAACTTGATCTTTTACACCCTGCTCGTCAGAGTTCACACCTGCATCTTGAGTTTGACCACAATTACAGTCACTAACTTGACTACTTCCATGACCCGAATGATCTAACTTATGGTCCATGTTTGCATTCTGCTGCAGTGAACTACTACTGCCAAGGATTTTAGTTTTTGATTCCAAAGCTGGACTAGAAAACACTGCATCATTCTCAATCACAGTTTTGGACTTGTCAGGTTGGGAGTGAAACTCAGGGTCATTATCAACCTGCAATAATAATTAAAAATAAAGGATCTTTACTCCATTCACATGAGTGCTCTCACTCACATATATTCCTAAAGATGTTGTCATCAACATAAGGTGAATTTCGTTTAGACAATGCTCCATAATATATGGCAAGATATGGACTATGTGACATTGATGTTTAACTCATGCAAATTTCACACGGGAAAATTGTTGGATACCTTTGCGTGGTCGTGTCTGATTTCATCACCCTCAACAGTTGATGTCCTGGATTTCTCTCTGTCTAAATCTTGTAACAAAACGTTATCTTCAGGCACAACAATCTCCTTATACACATCAGCAAGTTTTCTAGTTGCACCTTCATTGAGCTGCATCAAATCCTTGGATTGTTCAGATTCATCTGTCACTGATGGATTTAATAAATTGATCCCAGCATTGTCTTTCACTGTTTCTTTACTTCCATAACTCCGAGAAGAATAAGTTTTGTGGATGTTTTCGTCTACTTTTCTCCAAAAAGTAATCTTATCGTTGGTATGGACTCCTTCATCCACACATATATCCTTAATAACGTTGTAACTAGTCTCTTTGTGACACATTATATGTTCTGGTTCACATGCTGTAACACTTTTGTCCATATATAGATCTGCAGAACCCTCTAATGAGCCTGTTTCCGCGAGTGAGTCATGGATTGGTGAATTGAAGGAGTTTTTCACCGATTCCGTATCATGGTGAAGCATCCCAAATGACTCTATTTCCTGCGAAGAATGGGGTGCTGCATCAACAGAGTCCCTGACCTGTGCTTCATAGTCATTTTCTAAATCAAGTTTAATTGTTGTCGAGAAATCTACTGACCCCATGTCACAGGGTGATAGAGTTGAATCCATTATACGTCTCTGTTTCGGTGGAGGCTCTAGTTTCGCATTCCTTTATTTTGTTGTGTTCTGATTTGCATCCAGTAGAATATTACATCACTGTCATTGGAGTCAAATGATTGAGATTCAAGGCCAAGGCCAATATTTGAATGTAAAGAAGCCAGTTCTAGTTCTGTACATACATTTTCAAATAGAAGAAAATAATTTGCTAGGTCCAATTTTCACAATAAAAATCACTTGATCATAAAACAAACACAATAAACAAGATAAAGGAATTCAGTAAATTCGTGTCAAGAAAGGTTATGTCATGGACTTGGAAGAATCATATTCAACAATATATGAATGGCAATAAGCAAACCATACTTGAAACAAGAAGTTATGAATCAAGACCAAACTAATTCAATAATATGCATAAGTTAACCCCTATTATCACAAAGAGAATGTGTTAAGTATAGCTGCTAGAGACAATAAAAGTACCAAAAGCAGAAACCAGAACTAAACTAAAAGTTTGTTACCTAGTTTCATTGTCCATGTAGAGTTCAAACCAATGAAAAACTTTCTGGTTTACAACAGGTATATTCAATCAACGAGACTAGCCAGATTACTAAATATATTATACGACCCTGAGAATCAGAAAACAGGAATAACTAGGTTAGTGTGAATGAAGCATCAAATCTTAAAAGTCCTAAAGTGACTCAAAAGATAACCTCTTTAAATCAAGAAGACAAAACAAAAGTGACATTTCACTATTCATAAAATAATTTAGATATTTGTTTTTATTTCAGCAGAAGGGAAACCATTTCTATCTTATAAAGACTGTAAGACCCTTTTTTCCACACATCTATTACGAACTTTTGATGCAAATAGTATTGATTAGAACCCAATTCGAACTAGAGTGCAATTCAAACATAAGCTTTAAGAATACTGAGAACTAATCAAATTGGGGGACCATATTATGACTTGAGCATCTCATATCCTCTCAGCATATCCCAATCATTAAGAGTACGAGTTTATGCTTATATGTAAAGTTGTAAAAGCATGTTCCTGCATCCTTTTTCTTTTATTAGTAAAAGATTTGGTTTTGGACTAACTGAATAGAATCCTAGGGTAGTACTCGATGTATAAAAGGACAAAGGGAAAAAGTTTAGAAATCCTAAACTTTTGGAAAAGCTTTTCAGCTACAAATATTCAAACTCAGATTGATTTGACACCATCAAATTCCCTACCAATATTTTGTCCTTTAGAGCTCTGATTGGATTGAGGTTTAGCCCTCAAACCAAATCAACACAAGTCTACAAATCCAGAAGAGTAGAGTGAAAATTCAAGGTCTGTTACAACGTATACACCTCAATCACATGATGGGAAAAAAAGGGAACCAGCACAACCGATATGAGAAATTAACATCAACTTGTCAAACCTTCTTAGCCCCATAAAACATATAATAATATGTGATATATATACATGGAATCACAAATGAAAGAAACAAAAATAGGACAAAAAACTACATCCAAGTCAATTACAAAGAAAAATGTAACTGCACTCACCACAAAAAAGGCCAAATGACAACAGAGATAGAGCTAAGACTTAAAATGTGGATAGCCATTTCACAGTTCACATAACAAACAGGTGGGGGGAGAGAGAGGAAGAGAGTACCATAGGCGACAAAAGAAACATTCCATGTTGAAATTAAAGCAGAAAACAATCAAGAATGGAGTGGAGTTGGCAACACAAAAGTAGGCAAAGAGAAGAAGAGGTTATTTCAAAGTGTATTATAGTTGGCAGTGTCTAAGGGAGAAAGGTATATAAAAAGTATTCTTTTCCTAATAACAAAATCTTGTGCTATTTATCTCATCTTATAATGTAGTATACTTTTGTAAGACAAATGTAAACAACATAAATCATTTTAATATAATATGAAGATATTCAGAAAGTATTCAATATTTGATCGAAATATCAACACGTATAATTGTAATTAAAAGATAATCATTATTTTGACTTAAATTCCTTCTAGTCTTTATAGTTTTCTAAACAGGAAATTTTGTTCTATATAAAAATTTAATTACACATTTATTTCTCTAAAATTTTAAAATAAGTAATCCTACTCCATGGATAATATTTTCTATAACCAGTAACAGAAACTATTGACATGTTATTTGGTTTTGCATTTAATGTGAAGTATAAGAGGGGACCAATGTATATTTAATAGGTATTGTTAGAGCTTTAAATTAGGACCTTATTTTTTATCTCCTTCTGACATCAAAAATTTAATTTCACACCAAAACGTTGTTCTCTTCTGTCGTTTTACAACCTCCACAATCTTATTCCAGTCTCTGTCTCTCCTAGAATAAATGGTCTTTTGTAAATATTAAACATTTATGATGTTCTTTTTAACTACTTTATTCAAGAGTGGTTGATACAACATTCCTTGAACATATTTGCATTAAAATTCTTTTATGATAACTATTATGTATTTTAAGAAGAAAACTTTGGTCAATTCACATGATTTTTCTTTTTTGGAGAATAATTAATATCACTTTTATTATTAGTTAATGCCATTTAATATATTTCTTAATTTTAATTTGAAATCTTAAATGTTGGTCATTTTAAAAATAATAATAATACCACCTTCATCTTCTTTTACTTGTATTCTAAGATTTTGATACCAAGAAATTCATTTTCCTTCTATAATATAATTCTAAAAGTTCTCATTATACATTTTTGGTTATATTTTGCCATAAGTGCAAAGTATTTGTAAGTGCATAACTAATTCCACTTTTGACCAAAATTAAAGATAAAATTGACAGAAAATAATAATTAATTATCTTGAATTTTGAAAACCAACATAAATAATTTTTTTTCTTCTAAAATTGACACTTGAAAAAGAAAGGAGTAATCTTTATTATATGATTTTGGTTATTTTTATTTAATTTATTACCTTAATACAATTAATTTGTGCTTTAATGTTTGCTCTTTTTATCCATTTTTCGTTTATGCATTCATTATTGAATTTTTTAAATTCTGTACCAGGGGGTGTCGGACGCCCTACGGAAGGACGCCCGCATAGACGGCGCCATATGTACTGATAGTGGACGTCTACCCAAAGTCAAACGTCCGCCCAGGATTTGACGTCCGCGCAAGATAAAATGTCCGTCCAGGAATCGAGACCGAACGAGCGGCCCAAGGTTTGACGCCCATTTGAGAAGTGGACGTCCGCCCAAGGTTGGCGCGTCCGCCCAATAATCTGGACTGAACGTCCAGCCATTCCAGAATCACGCGTCCGCCCAAGATGGGACGTTCGCCCAAGGATTGGACGTCCGCCCTAGAGCTGGACGTCCGCCCAAGGAGTGGACGTTCGCCCAAGAGCTGGACGTCCGCCCAAGATGGGACGTTCGCCCAAGGATTGGACGTCCGCCCAAGGATTTGACGTCCACCCAAGAGCTGGACGCCCACCTAGGGTAACATCCCTGACCGACCACCATTCCCAACCGACCCGCACATTGCTGATTACACGGTTAAATGCTAATGACACATTAAAGTCCTTAACGAGGATTAAGGTATTATTGGGCCGTTTCCAGGCCCCCAAAAGGTAAAAGCCCATTACAATTCACTATAAATAAAGGTCTCAGGTATGAACTCTAGACGAACTTGAATAACGATGCATACACGCATCATAATCGCTCTGTCATATTACTGACTTGAGCGTCGGAGTGCCTTTAGCAGGTACCCGGCCCCTCCCCAGCGTGGAGCAAGGACCATCCGCCAGGAGAGGAGGACGTCCGCCCGGTTTGGAGCGTGGAGCGAGCGTCCGGATTGGAGGACGTCCGCCAAGCTTGGAGTAGAGAGCGAGCGTCCGGATTGGAGGACGTCCGCCCGGCTTGGAGCAAAGAGCGAGCGTCCGGATTGGAGGACGTCCGCCCGGCTTGGAGCAAAGAGAGAGCGTCTAGATTGGAGGACGTCCGCCCGGTTTGGAGCGTGGAATAGCGATCGTCCATCTTGGTGCCGCCCGTCAGTGCAGCTAGCTCCGGTTCGCAGGATTCAGCAACGTCCGCCCGGTCCATGTATCTTCGCCGCCCGCCCGTTCGTCTTCGACAGTAAGATCAAGATCAAATGCGTTTTTACAGGGTCCCCACCGATCCAGTCGAAACAAATTCAATTTGTAAAATTTACCTTAATATTTCCTTCTATATTCTGTTGATTTGAGTTTCTTCTTCAACTTATTTTGTTTGACTGAATTACAATATTGCTTTGTCTTTAATTTTTTCTCTCCAATTTTCGTCCTCCTATTATTTATTTCCTGTGGTTTTAGTTTCTACGTTTTAGGAAATTCGTAATATTGATTGAATCGTCAAGTTTACTCATGATTTTATATTTGGCTAATTACATTATTTATTAAGACGCCAATAACGTATATATAAGATTTAGGGTTCAATTTGCCGAAGAAAAGTGTATACAAAACTAAAGATTGAACCAGAATTGTGAACTTTTAAAATCTGAGAAAAAAAATTAGGAGTGCAAAATTGTTAATAAAAAATTGGAAAATAAAATAAATTTATTCTTAATTCATGATATATTTTTGTTGTTAGAGCTTAAGAGTTTCTTGTTTTGATTATATTCATTATAGTGTTATTCTTTCTATTTTATGATATTGTTTTTTAACATTGTATGTCAATACAATGTTTGAAACTTCTGTTCTAGATCCAGATAATATTAAAATTAATCTCGGACTCCAATTAACTTTTTAATGTTAAATTGAATTATTATTATTTTTCAATTATAATCAAGTTTGACCCAACTTAATTTCCTATTTAAAATTCAAACACTTAAGTAACTTACTTTTAAGATAGAGATGACTTCTAGCCATTACTATTAATAATTTTATTATTTTTCCAACTTCTCTGTTATTGTGTTTTCTAAATTGAAGAAATGCAAACATAAAAATTTATTACCAATTTCCATTAGTTTTCTACAAACATTGAGAGTTAGTATAAATAGTATAATCCTATAAGAAGCAAAGTAAAAATTATAGTAGAAAGAGAGAAAGAAAAAAGAAAAATAAAATTCATTACTTTATTCCGGCAGTTGAATATTGTCATTATTTTTAAAAAAGTTATTTTAAATGCATGCTTAATGACAGTTCAATAGTTAAGAGATTGCTAATAAAATTTAATATTTAATGAAGATATTATAATAGAACAAATTTTATAATATTCTGAAAAATTACAGACAAAAATGCGAAAAAAAATGGAAGTAGAATTCAGAAAAAAAAATACGTTAATAAATACAATTAAGTCTTTAAGTTACTAAGAAATTTGGAGATCAAGGTGGACTTAGTAGCAGAAATAGAAAGAATAAAATATATCATGAATTTGAATTCTTATGCTAAAAATATATATTAATAATTAATATTTATTGTTAAAAAATTAAACTAATAAAAAAATAATGAGAACGGCATATATAATCCATGTTTAACAATTTTATTTTTTAAATATTTATAACAAGAAAAAAATGAGCTTTAATTATTAATATTTCCTAATATTTAATAGAAATGTCAAAGAAATGTCAAAGTTGTGTTGTAGTAGAATGGTTAGTAGAATGATTAACGTGAAATAACAAACAAAGAGGGTGAATTGGTTTCTAATACGAACTTGTGTCTTTTAAAATTTCTTCTTAATTTAACTTACTAAGATGATAATAATGATAAAGTAAAGAAAGTAAGATTCAGAGAAATTTGCACAGATGATTTTATCCTGGTTCGGATCTTATTACCAACCATACATCTAATCGCTTATCTCAAATCAAAATCTTGATACCACAAGAGATGAACCTGCACCTCTTTTGAGTCTTCACAAAATATGAAACACTTCCACCGAATACTCCGCGAAGGATGACTTTCTCTTCCGAACACTTCCTCAAACGCACCAAGGATGAACTAGCCATTCCTATATTACCGTAGTAGCACTTCAACAACTGCACAGACAATAGTTTCTTTAGCTGAACAATATCACACAATTCTCAAGAGTTTTTGAGTTCTAGAGCACGAGGAAAGAGTTACAGTTGAAGGAAAAATAGAGCATATTTATAAATTCAAGCAAAGACTCTCCCGTTCTTCATTTCCAGCCATTTAATGCTTTTAATCGATTAAAATGAATACAACAACTAGAAAACTCCAACGATCACCTTTAATCGATTAATCCACTTGTTAATCGATTAGTTAATCGATTAAAAGATATTTTAATCGATTATTGCAGAAGCAATATGAGTTTTCAACACTTATCATGATTAATCGATTAACACTAGGTTTAATTGATTAATACAACGTGTTTTTTATTCTGAACAACAATTTTGAAATATGAAAGTACATGGAATGAAAATCACTAAGAACCTAAGTCCTAAACAATAAATTACAATTATTACAAAAGTTTTCTATAACAATACAAGTCATCAAAGGATCTTCTTGAATCTTGATTTCTCTGGACTTAATTCGAATATCATCAAAACTTCATCTTCATCAATTTGCTAATAAAAGTAACAAACAAATCCATGGAAAATTTTTATATCTACTCAATAGGAATATAAGTATGATTAATATTCTATATTTTAATTAAATATAAGAACAAGAATGATTATGTTAATATATTTTTTAATATATATTTATTGTTTTTATTTATTGTTTAAATTATTAAAATATTCATATTTTATTATATATATATATATATATATATATATATATTACAATTTTGATTACACTTTATATTTTTTTTAGTTATAAAAAATTACGTATTATTAATTTGAGTGAAAAAATATATTTAATGTCTTATAT